CAATTAGATCAAATAAGCAATCAAAGAAACACTAAAAAAACTAAAGAAATACATAAAAGTACTTGTGTTTGAACTAAATGAAAATAGATAAATAATTATTAGTTTTGGTATTTTTTTCATGGATTAGTAAAATGGAGGGGATAGATGACAAGTTTGCAAAAAATAAATTAAAAATAAATTAATTTGTATATAGAGATAATTAAAAGAAATGGAAAGATAAAATAAAACAAACAAAATCTAAAAAAGAGGGGTTTACTGGCAATGGGAGTTGAACTCAGGCCCTTATACTTACACTCAAAATTTTAACCACTGAGCCACACACTAAGTGGTGTTAGAAAACGCAACCACAAATAAAAGAGAGAAATAAGTCACTGAATGGTTTTCCAAAAAATAAGCAAAAAGGTCTGGGCGAGGGGGTTTCGCACCCCTGACCTTTCACTTCACACACAAATACCAGTGTGCTACCACTGTGACACAATGCCAATTAGTTTATTTTACAACTTGCACTAAATATATTATAAACACAACATTTAAAATTTTAAAATGGCTCCACCACCATCTTCGTCTTCTTCATGAAACAACAACACAACAACAATGGTGTAAAGTCCAACTTCCTCATTTATCAACCAAATCACAAAGTGTAAAAATCAAACTTGCTCAGAATTTAACAACAGGAATTCAAAAATGTCCATATCACAAATTAATACTGACTGTAGCTCATGAATTTTGATCAAATCCAAAAAACCTAACTTTTTTAAAGTTAAATTAAATTACACAGATGATCAACCAATGCCTATTTTCATAGGGCTTTCATTCATGGAAATTAAACACACAAGATAGTATCAAGAAATGTCTAAAATGATGCTTGTATAGATGACTTCTAAATCAAGAAAAACTTACCTATTGGAGAAGGTTCAATGCTTGTCTTAGTGAGTTTCAGAGGTTCCAAATGATGTCTTTAGCTTGTATGATATCCCAGGAACACAATGCAACCTTTAGTTTTATTTGAAACTGCCTTAAGCTTTTTAACCAAGTTCACTTATGATGATGAATGAACACGGGTTGAGTGGAGAAATGGGGGTGTTACAGATGCAAACCAATGCTTTCATAAGCTTGTATATGATGTGTAGATGGTGTTTGAATGGTCAGTATTAAAAGAATTTGCAAGAGGAGAGAAATTCGTAGAAATGGATTTTGAGCTTTAATGGAGTGTTTAAAATCTCACTATGTGTTTCTCTGAGTTTGTAGGGGATTTGATGTGTGTTTTGGACTGAGGGAAGGCTCTCTATTTATAGGAAAAGGTTGAGAGATCAAGGGCTGATGAGAAACAAAGTCTTGCAAGTTAAGGTTTAGTTGGATCACAAATGGAAGTTACATGGATTATGGTGATTCCAATGTGACATAGAGCTTGATTTATGGATAATAAGTTCTCTTTCCTGAGTTTAGAGGTAGTGTGTGATCATAAGAAACAATGTAAAGGATCCAAGCAAGAGTGGTTGGAAAAGTGATCATTTATTCAGATGGATATCAAACTTTTTGCAAATTCTTCCAAATATGGTATCATGAATTGGATAAAGCCTCTAATCTTTGTGTAATGCATCAATGATCTTTGTAGTTGCTCAATTATGTTAAGCTTTGCAGTAATAGGTTTTGACAAGATTTTGAACCATAAATCTTCCCTGTAGAACCTCTATACCATGGTACTTCATCTCTTTGAAACTCCTTGATCAAGTATGATAAATTCACGCTCTTAGACTTTTTGGAAAGATGAAAACATCCTATACAACTTTCATGTTAAGCACTTGACTTGAATCAATTGGGATCATGGAGAAAGATTTCTCACAAAAATGTTATTTCAAGCTAAAAAACACTTAGAGGATTTTTCTAAGTCCTTGTCATTTTGACAACTTTGAGATGCCCATTTGATAACTTCATATACTCAATCCTAATGATCTTTTTGGTTCATTCCTTATACAATGTTTAATTATGTAGGATTGTCTTGAAGTACATCCTTTTGGCTTGAAACATGATGGCTTAAGGAAGAAGTGACAAGCTTTGAAAGTCATGCACTTGAACATAAATTTTTGACACTTAGTGAAATTTTCAACATCTTAAACTTTACCCTTTTTTGCAAGTTACCTCCAATTTTATGGTTTCACTTAATAAAATTCAAATATCAATCATATTTTTATGAAATTTAACTTGAGGATTCCATATTTGACTAAAAAAATCCAATAGTCAAAGTTTGACTTTGAGCAATTGACTTTTCCAGATGAATTCCAAACCTTCAATTTATTAATGAATCACACTTCATTAGTAATTTGGGATGTAAGAGAGGGTCTTAAAGGAGCATATGAAAATCTTGAATCATGCTTCAACCACTAGATCAAGCTTTAGGTCAAAATTCAACACTTAGTCAACTTTAATCCAAAAAAAACCCTAATTTGAGGTGCAGATGAATTTGAGACTGATGATCTTGAAACGATGCTCACTTTGAGCTTGATTATGGATGAAGGGAATCACTTGACCATTATGAATGAATGAATATTGAATATTGAAGGCTAAATTCTAAACCCTAATTGATCAATACTTGTACTTTCAATGTTTCTTGATTCAAAAACCTTGTCTTACACAAGAAGCAAGCATGGCAAGATATATTTTTTGTATTTACTTAGTGAAGCAAAGATGAATTAGATGATCTCTTGAGGTTATGAAATGATGCAAGGAGAGGTGGAATCTTAGGTAAAAATTTAGGGTATGACACAAAGCAACATTACATTGTTGACAATGCTTATAAGTTTTTCAGAATACTCCTTGATTGTTTCTGACTCCTTCATCCGCTGTATCTTGAATTCTCTGATCAAATTCGACACTTACATCCCTTTGACTTTCTCATTTCTTTCATACTTCTGCTTGAGAAAATCACAAATTGCTTTGGTTGACTTTAGAGTCATAATTCTTGTAAAGACTGCTTCAAAAACAACGGAAAAAAGTTAAGACTTTGCCTTCGATTTTCGCTGCTTTCTGTCTTTATGATTTCGGATTTGTGCAAGCGTTGGATTGTCTGGTAATGGATCAATCACATAATCCTCCTCAATAACCTCATAAAGATCATTAGCATCAAGATAAGCCTTCATGCTGGTTACCCATAAGTGATAATTTTCACCCTAAAAAAATTGGCTATTTTATGGCTGAATTATCATATTGCATTTTCAACTCTCAGAGTAAGTATTTGGGAGTTTAGTGGTACTCTCAACCACACCAGGTCTCTAAAAAATAGCTCTGATTACCAACTGTTGGAATTCATAAACAATTTTGGATAACTTATGAAATTGAAAACTAAAACACACACATTTCATTGCTACTAACAACCTTTAAATACAAGAAGTTCTTAAACAGAAATTAATGAAATAAAACTATCCATAATTTGTAACATCTAATATAAATTTGTAACATTCTACTACTACCCATAATTCTTATAATTAATTCCATAATATTCATAACCATAGAAATGCTACAATCAATTCTAATAATAGGTACTAATCCATATTTTCAAAATAATGGATGATCTTCTAGGTTATCTGATTGATTCTCATGTCAGATGTTGTATCATATGCAAGTTATTGACTAGGGAAAATATTTTTAGGAGTAGAATTTTATCTATCACTTGTGAGATTGGGTGTGTTTTGTGTTTGGGGCAGGTTGATTTGGTGAATCATTTGTTTACGCGTTTTAATGTTGTGTCTGCTATTTGGTATATGGTTTTTAGATGGGTGCAAAATTTGATGCATATTCTTTAATCGAATTTAGAATTGTTTTATGTATTTGTGGGTTTAGGTACGAGTGAGGAGGTAGCTTTAGGTCTGATTTTGATCTAGCATAGGATAATTTCCACTATCTAGAATTTGCAAAATAATTTTACTTATTTTGTTGAAAAAGCCTATTGAAAAATCATTGGGTGATTACGATTGTTTCCCTTTTTTAGAAGTGGATTCATTCTCAGTTTTTTAGCCTTTTCTTTCTCGCTTACAAATTGGGAGCAAGAGCTTCTCATTAGCTTAGGCGATAAGAAATTCTAGGTATTTAAAGCATCTAATCGTAATAAATTTATAACTTGATTTTGTTTTTTTAAAGAAAAGAGCTTCCACAAAAGACGAATCGTTCAGGTACTATTTGAACTCGATTCTTTATAGAAGTAAAATTTGGTTAGTGAGCCGTCCCTATGAACCACGAAACCTGATTAATCTCTTTACTGTGTAGATCGGACCTGATTGACTAAACTCAAAAAAAAAAAATTTGATCTTGTTTTCTTCAACCAAAAAAATTCATAAAATTAATGGGACCTCATATCCCGAATGGATTGGGTTTTGTATACAAATTGGTGTTTCCTCTATCCAGATTACAAAAAAATAGACTTTAGGATTATTTTTTTTTCCTTCTAGAATGTGGGCTACATGGTTGGTTTCACGTCTAGAGAATGAAACCCATGTTTTACCGAGTCTCTTCAGCTTTCAGCGTATGTTTTTACCCAGCATTGTCCAAGAAATTATAGGGTTTTCGTTCTCATTAAACATCCTAGCCAGCCAAACCTTGGTTATCAGTTTCGAACATCACATCTATAAAACAGCAGTCTATCTCTATGTTAATGGCTTTGTTTAACGCCATGGTTTCCACCATCATAGGGTTTTCATCACCGTCCATGAACATAGTGCAAACCGTCAAGATTTTTCTCTTATTATTTCTGTGAATATATAGCTCTTAATTTTGCAACAGTACTTGTCTCACTAGTTGATCTTAATTTTTGTTTTATTAGTATATTTTCTTATAATAAAATCAAAGTTAGAAAAGTAATAATATCATTAATTAAATTAAACTAAAAAACTTGCATTAAGTAGACGGAAATAGAAAATACAAGGAAAACGTAGAAGAAATACACCGGCTCACATGGTACTTCTAACTAACTAAGAAAACTTAAACAAAATAGTTAAACATGAATAAATCTATTGCATAAGTAAATTTCTAATGATGGCTGCTTGTGCTGTGTCTGTTGTAGCCAGTAGCTCAGATAAACGTTCGCTAAGGTCGTCCACTTCTCTGTGCAAATTTCTAATATAGTTGCATGTCTCCTGTAACACCCTCGAAGCTGAAGCCTGATATTCAAATTCAATTTAGTATAACTGATTTAGCATATATATATATATATATATATATATATATATAACTATTCCCATGAGAAATAGAGTTGAAAACACCAAAAAATCTGGTAGATGAAAAAAAAAAGGTGATAGGATTAGTAGTAGTGTTTTAAAATTCAGATCTGTTATCAATCAGATCAGTATTGGACCACTCGATTAGTGGTCATAGCAGTGGATCATTGATCGGACTAATAGATTGGTATCAAATTTGTATAAAATCATGATTAAGAGTGTTTTTCACTCTTATATTGAGTTCATCTCTTATTGACCTTGATTAACCAATGATTTTTGTTATTATTATATAAAAATAATTATAATAATAAAATAAAAACGAATAAATGTTTTACTAAAATTTGTTAAATTTATTATTTAACTTAATTCTCATAATATATATATCTTGAATGGCTTGCTTGCTAATCTCCTAGAATATAGTATATTGCAAGTGGGTGTAAGAAGTATTTTATTTAATTTCTTTGGATCAATAAATTATTTTCAATTAAATCATAAATATTTACTTGTATAAGTTATTTTTTATAATAAAAAAATAAAATAAAACAAATTATTCACGTGTATGCATAAGCTCTTTTCAAAAGTACCCTTAAATATTATTACAAAATTTATGACAATTAAAAAATTTAAAAAAAAATCCAAAAAAGCCCTTGGTCCATCTTTGTTATGCATATAGTTCGTTTTTCTTTTGCCCTTTTAAGTTGGTTTGAATTTGAGTACACTCTTATACTTTCTCTAATGTATTTGTTTAAGTTGTTAAGAAATGATATATTTACTCTTGCTAATTGCAACTTGCAAGCTTTTTTTATAAACTTAAATTAAGAATTGTTTAGGTGTCATTTGAAAGTTCCACACTAGTTAAGCAAGTGTGAGACAGCCATTAAATAATGTGAAGGTAAAAAACATTCAAAGGAAGAAGAAGGTAAATAAGTATGTTTGTGTGAAGAAAGAAACCTTGTCCGAGGTCCTATTGCGAATCTCAGGAAGAAGCTGCTGCAACTTGGAGACAAGATCATGGATCTGATCGTCGGTGATATTCCTTGAACTAGTTGTTTGCCTAGACCGTGACCTCCTGCTAGACATGTTTATATAATATATAGTTTTGGATGTATGTGAGAGACAAATTGAAATATGATAAGAGATAGTGATGTTGGAGAAGGAGAAAGAGTGATGATGCATGGGAGAAAGAAGAGGGGTAGGGTTGTTTTTAAATAGGGTTTTGAAGAGAGTAAAAAGAATAAAGTTTTCTAGAGATACGGTAAAACTCGTGTTCCCAAACAGGGGTGAGAACTTTCAGAGTAGCGTGTGCACGTTTCAAGTGAGAGAAAGATAGAGAGATTGTGTGTGAGCAAGCTTTGTTTCTTTGTTTTTGACCATCTTAGACTGTCAGACTCTACACGCAATACCATGTTAACTAAAGATTTCCAACAGTGCAAGTGCCAAAGTTAAATGCAGTGTTCCTTAAAAAAAAGATTTATGGCTTTAATTGATATACACGGATTATGTTAAAGAGTTTTATACTGTTATTAAATAAAAAATTAATAATTTTTTATATTATTAATTTTTTATAATTAAAAATGTATTCTAATTAGATATACAATCATGATTGATTGATAATGTAAAATTATTTTACAATATCAATGTATAATCTTTTTTCTCAAAGTTTATTAATAATCATTTAAATAATACAGTTCCTCATAATTAATCATTATATAATTCTTTTAGGTTGATTACTAATAAATTTTTGAAATATTATTTTATTTAAATAGATCACTCATTCTAGAATAGATGAAATACATCAGAAAAATATCTTAATTAATTAATTAGTAAAGTTAACTTGAGTAGATTTGTAAACATTAATGTAAATTATTATTATTCCCTCACTTACTTTTTAAGTTTTTTTTTTTTAAATTCACACATATGTAGGAAGATAATAGAAATTTGTTTAGTAAAAATAATTAATAGTTAATAAGTTATTTGGTAACTCATAATTTATAATTATTATCTGATAGTTGATATAGTTTATAATTTCACTAATAGATGATAATAAGTCTTTGTTTAGTAGTTGATAAGTCAATTGGTAATTTATAAATAAATTTCAATAAGTACTTGTGTTAATAAAGCATAAGGGGTGTTAATCCAATAAAAAAGGAAAATCAACAAAAACAATAGCACAAAGCATCAAACAAGTCAAGCCTACAAACCAATATACACACAAGGATTGGAGATTTAAACCTCCCAAACACAATCTCCCTGCCTTTAAAAAGAATAAACAATCTATCACAACCCAAACTTTTAATAAAAGAAAAAATTTAAAACAATTCCAAACTAAACTATTAAAAACTACATTATTCCTACTCAATCAAACACACCAACAAACTAATAATCAAATAAAAAAAAATTACAACATCATCCAAACAAACCACAAACGTGCCCAAGAAATAAAATCCCGAAATAATGTCACCATCAACATCTGCCACCAAAGCATCAAAAGCAATCACTTCTAACCAACGAAACACTTCCTTCCAAAGCCGCAACAATACTACAAGTAAAAAAGATGTGACCCACCGATTCCTCCTTTACACCACAAAAAGGACATAAAGTCTCGGTCAAAACATGCTCCATACCTCGTTTGCAAAGCTCACTTCTTGTAGGTAGTATGTTCAACAAAAACCTCAACCAAACAATTTCACTTTACTCAAAACACAAGTTCCCCACATCTTATTTATAATAGATATATGATAGTTGATATAATTTATAATTGATGACTGATAGTTGATAATTGATGACATGTAAAAACTAAATTAATTAAAGTGTTTGATAATTACTTTTAATTAATAATTTAGTGATTAGATTTTTTATTTGACATAAAAAGATATTCTTTAGTTAATTGATAGCAGTTATAATAGTTGGTGAATGTAAAATAACATAACAAACACATTATTAATTAATAACTTAGTGATTATATATATTTTTTATATTATTATTGAAATTAATTTTTATTTGAAAATAAATATAATAAAAAACAAATTTAAACAATTTTTAACATATTTGTAAAATTAAACATAATATCAAAAGTTATTCAACACATGTTTTTCAAAACATGCACACAGGCACGCACACACACACACACACACATATTTTATTGGCGGACAAAGAATAATAGAGTACAAGTGAGCAACAATAAAGAGCGAGGTTGAAATCGACGGAGAAAGAAAATGGAGAAAGGTGGACCTTAGTCAAAATTTTATTTTCAAATCTCTACCTCATCGATAATAGTTTATTTCAAAGTAAGAAAACATAAGATATCCCTACCTTTGAAAGAGTTTGCCATCAACTTAGATCTTCCCTATGGTGGACCTCTCTTCAATCCAAATGAACAAGGAGACAACTTTAACTATAAGACTATTGTCTCCTCCTTTATAATTAATCTAAAGTCTTCGGTAGTTATTACTTCATTCAATGTTGGCACTATGGGACCTGGCATCTGTTTGATTCACTATGTGGTGAATCACATAATTTTTCCAGGAAAAAACAACTTTAGTCACCTAACTAAGTCTGGTGTTGCAACTGTGTGGATGATTGCAAACAAAATTCAAACAAATTGGGAAAGTGAAGTGGTACAACACATGCTGGAAAGCAAGAAAAAAAGAATACATCTACCATATGGTGACTTGTTCAGAAATATCTTGGAATTCACCAGCTTTAACCTTAAAGGAGAAAAACTTGTCGAGATGTGACAAAGATAAGAGAAGTTTCACTAGGAATGATGAGTTACGAGATTATTAATGGAAAAATTATTCAAAAACCCTCCAAAAGAAAGAAAAGAGGAATGGAACAACATAATCAAGAAGAATCCATGAATTTAGAAGATTTCAGCTATGACATTATCGAAATACTCTCTGCTGAAGACTTACTTAAAGACATAATTAAGAGACTAAATAGGAAAAATGTGAAGATAAACTTCTTGACTTTCCACTTTGCCCAAGACTTAGCGCATCTACCTGCAGGGATGTTTACTGATGATGATGAGGATAGTGAAGAGTAGCCTCACCAATGTGTTTTAAGTTTTTAAGTGTGTTTCAATTTCCATTTGTCCTGCATTTAAAATTCCCGCAATTAGATAAGGAAGGTCTCTACTCATGTGGGAGAGTTTAACCACTCCAAATTTTATCCATATATATTTCTTTTACCGCCTCACTGAGAGATGTAATGTCATCATGAAAAAGGGGGATAATGCAGAACTATGTGCTTACATGTATAACCAAGAAGTGATCATCCTATAGTGATGGTTACTAACCTGAAGGTATTGCAAGCCTCATCCTCAAGAAGATTCAGGTGAATTCCTTATATTATTGGTATATCTGACAAAAGAACTTGAAGCTTCAGAGTGTGAAATAGAGGAAGTGTGAAAGAGAGAAAGTTTTAAAGCTCTCATGATCGTGTTCGTCAAAGTGATCAGTTTATTGTAAAGACACAAGGACATTTTTGAAAGTAGTATCTCTAAAACGCAAACACATACACTTAAAAGTATTTTTTGAATCCTCTCTTTTAAAAAAATCAACAAAAATTATTCTGGAACCTAGCCTGATGAATTGGGAACTGAAAATTTGATTAAGATAAGTTTTTGAACTGTCTAATCGATTAGAACAAATACCTGATTGATTATATGAGGATGAATCATTTCTATAATCCATTATGATAGTGTCATTTATTTTTCCTATGGATTGTTTCCTAAAATGAAACATCTCTTGACCTATAAATAGAGGGTTTCCTTTTCATTTTGAAATATTCAGAAAAATGAGAGATACCTAACTTCTCCTCTCTCTCTCTCTCTCAATCTCTTTTTAAATTATTTTTTTTCTCTCACATATTTTTAGCCATAGAGCATTCTTAAGTTGAGTGATGGAATTGTTTTGGGTGAGGGAACTATTGTAAATTTACCAATAGTGCTTTTTCCACTTGAGAAAATTATTCTTCCTTAGGAAGTAGTTATTTTGGTTTGGAGCTAAACCAATGCAAAATCTCTTTTGGGGGTTAGTATAAGTTGTCGTTGGATTTGTGACCTCCACATCGAATAAAATATCTCCTTTTGGGTTCATGAAGAATAACTAGAGAAAAAATATTCACATCTGTTGTTGAGCTCAGCCCGATTATAATCTCTATTGGTTTGAGATTAGTGTGGCATAAAATTTCACTTAGTTTCTAAGTACAGCCTGTGTAAAAGCTCAACAATTTTTTAGATAAACCATGTAAAAATATCGGTTCGGTTCTTGGTCAGCCTGTTTAAAACCTCAGTTATGTTCAAAGGATAGCCAAATTAAAACTCCAACTTGGTTCGAGATCAAGCTATGTAAAATAACATTTTTTCACTTAACATAGCACCTTAATTCAAGTGCTCCAAATCTTCCATGTCCATGTTCATCTTCAACCTTTTGAACACTTCAATTGTGACCCTTTTGATCAACAAATCAACAACTTGGTCTTGACTTCTACAATATCCCAATCTCACCTTCCTTCACTAACAAGCTCTCTCGTTGCCCATCTCTTTCAATAGATTCATCAACCATGCGACTTAGCACACACACAATGAAGCAGTAATACACCCGGCCTCATAATATGAGAGTTTTATTATCAATTCTTTCATAGAACACCATGATATTAGTGTTCTATCGAACATAAAGAGGTAACCAGTTGTAGAATTTCGATAATATTTATCTTTCTACCAATTGGAATTGGTAAAATTGAGTACATTGCATTTTCTACCCATGTTCGATGAGGGAAAGAGAATTCCACTGCCAATAGATCATTTGACATATATTAGGATCCTCTTGACTACTTCCAAGTGAGACACCTTTTGTTTCTCCAAGAATCTACTCATAATATTGATACTAAACTTCAAATTCGACCGCGTATTGCACAAGTAACACAAGCATCCAATCAACCTCCTATACTGAGTTGGATTCACCTTTTTCTCATCCTCATTCTTAGACAATTGTAACCTTGGTTCAGCTGGAGTAATGACAACATCGCAATTCTCCATTTCAAAATCTTTAATATCTCAAAAGCATATCTTCTTTGGT